AATTATAAGCTATAATGATTAAGACAGTACAGTATTAGCTCAGGTACAAATAAGCCAATGCAATAAAGTAGACAATAGAGAAACAGACCCTGGCATACTGGGAAACCTGACAGATAAGGGCTAGTATGGCAGGTCAGTGGGGAAATGACAAAAGTTTCAATGAAAGGTTGGGAACACTGGTTCAAAAAAAGTGAAAATGGATCTCTCTTTATACATGCACAAAAACCAAATCCAGACAGTTCAAAGATTTAAATTATAAAAGGCATACTGTTAAACCTTTAGAAAAATATAAGAAAACATCTTTGACCCATAGTTTGGCAAAGATTTAAATCTTAAAACACAAAAAGCTCATATTTGATAAAGGGATTGATCGATTTAACTACACCAAAATTAGTAACTTCTATTCAACAAAAGATATCACTGAGAGGGTGAAAAGGCAAATCACCACTTGGAAAACTATATTTAATAACATTTAGCTGACAAAGGATTAGTATATAGACAATAAGAAATGTTTATTAATAAAGAAGGAAAAAGCAACTCCACAGAAAAATGGACTGAGGAATAGATGGAACAGAAAACACAAATAACTGGTAAATTAACATATGAAAAAATAATTTCCCAAGTCTTCAGGGAAATGGAAATTAAACCCACAATGAGATATTATCTCATACTTCCCAAGGTGGCAAAAATTCAAGTCCTGTAAAACAGGAATTTGCAAGGATGTTCAGCAAACATACATGTTCTGTGGGTAAGAATGAACACTAAAAAGACTTCAGAAAACAATCTGACAAACCTACTCAAGACAAACATGGGAATACCCTGTAACCCTACAATTTTACTCCCAAGTATACATCTCAGAGCAACTTTTAAATCTTTGGCCAAGACCCACATCAATACGTTTACATTCTGACCTAATACACACATAACTGAAACAAAAGTTTCATGAATTCATGAAAGAAACATTTTTTTTCTTTTTTCTTTTTGAGAGAGGGAGAAAAAGAGAATATCCCAGGCAGTTTCCACATTCAGCACGGAGCCCAATTTGGGACTTCATCCCATGACCCTAGGGTCATGTCTTGAGCCTAAATCAAGAGTAAGATGCTAGGGGCAGCTGAGCAGCTCAGTTGGTTAAGCCTCTGACTTCATCAGGTCACGACCTCATGGTTCATGAGTTCAAGCCCCAGGTTGGGCTCTGTGCTAACAGCTCAGAGCCTGGAGCCTGCTTCAGATTCTGTGTCTCCCTCTTTCTCTGATCCAGCCCTGCTCGTGCTCTGTCACTCTCTCTCTCGAAAATAAATACTAAAAAAAAAAAAAAAAAAAAAAAAAAAGAAAGAGAGAGAGACACTCAACTAAGCCACCCAGATGCCCCCATGACACAACTCTTGCACAGTGTGCGACATACTCTGATTATTTCTATTTCATTTAACATCATACCTACTATATAGATTTCACAAGACACTAATGCAGTGGTTCTTGACATTGGATACACATTAGATTCACCAGAGGTATTTAAAAAATTAAAAACAAGAACAAAACTGATGCCCAGGTAAGCCCCTGAAGACTGATTCAATTGGTCTGAGATGGAGCTTGGACATAGATTTATTTTTTTAGGTCCCCCCCCCCCAAAAAGAGATTCTAATAAGCAATGAGAATCAAGAACTAAACTAATGGGTCACCTGATGCTTAATAAACACTGCCATAGAGAAATACTTGCACAAGCCCTCAAGATTACCCATAGAGCAGCACTGTTCATGAAAACAACCCAGATGTCTTTTGATAGGAGACCAGCTAACTAAATTGCCATATATTTATACAGTGTACTAGTATACATCTGTGAAAATGAACAAAACAGAGCTGCATATAACAACATCAGCAGTGAAAATGAACTATAGCTATGTATACCAAAATGCATCTCAAAAGCATAAAGTTGAGTGAAAAATGTAAAATGTAAGTCCTGGAAAAATGCATACATTATGATTCCATTTATAAAATGTTCCCAAATAGGCAAGCTTAAACCATACGTTGTTTGGAGATATTATGTTGTAAAACTATAATAAAAAGCAAGGGAAAAAAACTGCATAATTCAAGATGGTAGATATTGGTGGGAGGTGGAGAAAAGAGAGATTGGGTGTGGCAGATGGGGGCTTCAGAGGTACTGATAAAATTCTAGGCTGGGTTATGTAAAGTTCTAGGCTGGGGAGATAAAAATGGTGTATAATGTGATATGGTGATGTAACGATTATGGCTTTCACAGGTGTACCCACTGGTCAAACTGTACAGTTAATTTCTGTACATTTCAATCTATGTAAATTTTCATTGATTATGTATTCTAACTCTCAAGTAAAATGTGTATTATTTTTGCATTTAATATTCAGTTACCATTCAATTTACAGCTCTGGAAGGGGAGAAATATATTGGAAAAAAACACAATTCTCTCATTCTGAAAATTCTGGATTTTGCTTTGCAATAAGGGATAGCAACACACACACACATGCATACAGACACACACAAAAGTACTATCTTTGAAGTTAAAAAATATCAAGTTTAAGTATTTAGAAATGACAGGGTCTAGGAAGGAAGGGTGAGGACACATGAAAAGTAATTTACGCCAACTGTTTCTTTCCTTGAATAGTATTTATCTTCAGTTTTATACCCAACTGCACTCATACTCGAAACTTAGTGAAAACTACCAGTCATTCTACTTTGAAGTTACAACCCTATGACAAAGATGTTCTGAATATAAGCCTATCCACCATATCAGATAAATTTTAAACTTTTGCTGTCTCTTCTTTTACATAAATTCAATCTCTATCCTGATGTACTTTGGTTGATCAAGAAAGCTAAAGGCTAAGGAACAGAAAGCTAACTTCTTTAAATGAGACAAAAGGAAAAGTTTTTCCAATTACCACTGCAAATAAGAAATTTTTCTTTGAAATACCAAATCAATTTCTTCACCTTATCATTTGATGGTTTTTACTCTTACTACTTCACTTCAGTGACCTATAAATCTGTCTAAAAAATAATAATTAAATTCCTTTCCTGTTTTTTTCAGGATAAAAAACATTAAATGATATAAAAACACTAAAATGACTTCACATTTTGATTATGACCTCTGCATTGAAAATCTATAGGAATTTTTCCAATTAACTTTCAAATCTGTTAACCTGTTAAAAAAATAAATAACAACCCCCCCAAAAACATCTTTGAAATAACTCAAGTGAATGCTTTACATAAAAAATGGAGTCACAAATCCCTATTACCATAGTCATCAATTTTAACAAGTCTCCTAAATATGTCCTGTATGTTTTCTTGATTTTAAGATGTCAATAATATGGAAACATTAATATAACAGAAAATTTAATTGTATTAGCTCCCCATCAACACAACAGTCATTTAATGATTATATTGGCCATTTCCATTGGTTGGCAGGAGGCTCTTCCACTAAAAGCTCCCATAGTTTCCACTGTATCATTTTTCTTGCCAGACTTAGTTCATTTTCAGCCTGAAGAATCACCTCTTCTGGTTGGCCACCCTGAAGTTGGTCTTCTAATTTCTTAACATCTGGTTACACTTTAACCATACTCAACTTCTCATTTGTAATCTGTTCTGTATACTTTCTATTGCTGCATTTTTAGGAATTTGCTCAAGAACATCAAGAATCGTTGTGTACAATATTCTTAGCCTCTTGTGTGGACTTACACAAAGCCAAAACCACAAGGCCAGTGGTCTTCTTCAGCAAACCTGCCATGGCCATGCCAACAGGCCCTTGTATATTTATTATTATATATAAAGCACTACTCCTCTTCCATTTGGGTTTCCTTCACCATGTTAACTTGGCTATCTATGAGTGGAAATATATCCTTATCTACACTTATATCTATTATTAGCTATAAGAGCCATATAGCCATGCTTAATGTAATTAAATAAACTAATCCCTAATTCTTACTCTAAAACCCATTACCAGTCCATAATGCCTATCTAATTCTAAAATCCAAAAAGCTCTGAAAACCACAAGTTCTTTCCTGAGGCTTGGCACCAAAACAAATTTAGTGACTTCAATTTATAGGAGATGACTATTTATAGTTTTTATCCCAGCTTGTACGACTAGGCCAGTGGTTGTTAACTGGAGGTGATTTTGCTCCACAGAGGATATGTAGCAATGTCTGGAGACATTTTTAGTTGTCATAGCTGGGTGGGAGGTGCTACTGACATCTAGTTGGTAAAAGCTAGGAATGGCTTATAGGATGTTCTATAATGCACAAGATCAATCCCTGCATCAAAGTTATTTGGCCCCCAAATGTCAATCTTACTGAGATTGACAAACCTTGGACCAGACTCATTATGTGCAGAAGACACATTAATTTACTAATCACGGAGTGCTGCCTTGGAGGGCATTAACAGAATACAAGATTAAAAAATAGTACTAAGTATTACTACTACTGAAAAATCACAAACTCTCTCAATGAGTTCTTTCTCAAATCTCCAAATCTCATTCACGTTGGGAAGCTCATGTCTTAGAAAATGAAGGAGAGGATTAGAGAAATTCATTTGATATACCAAGTATGAGTAAAAACTTAGTTTTATTCTTTATTATCAGAGGTTAAGAGAAACTAGCCTTTCTAATAGTGCCTATATACCACCATCAATTGTTTTCTTAGATCTGTTATTGTTCTCACCATAAAATATCAACTTATTATTATAATTTAATTAAAAAGAGATCATAATTGAGAAAAAATATCAAAATTGGTAACATAAAATACAAATGAGACTCATGGGGCACCTGGGTGGCTTAGTTGGTTGAGCATCTGATGTCAGCTCAGGTCAGGATCTCACAGTTCATGGGTTTAAGCACCATGTTGGGCTCAGAGCCTGCTTTGGATTCTCTGTTTCCCTCTCTCTCTCTGCCTAATCCCCCAACACTCTCTCTCTCTCTCAAAAATAAACATTAAAAAATAATAATAATAATAACCGAGACTCTTGAAGCCACAATAGCTATTTACCTTTCTCTGTGCCTGAGAATATAGAGATGATTTTATTCCTGGGCTTTTTTTCCTCTGGAACAGAGGGCAAAGGTTTCAAACTGTGATTGGCTGACAAAGGGTCTTTGCCTCCACTGCTAAAAATGGTACTGCTCATTCGCACAGGAGGTGCTGGAGGCTTGTCTTCCAGTTCTCCGTTATCAGACATGATTCGGAATTATGATGTGGCCTGAAATAGATAGGCAAAAATCATACAGTCAATAACAAAGTAAAAAATAGTACAGACAAGCAGAAACAGTAATAACTGTCCTCTTTTCAACTGTGAATTAGAAAATGTTATCCATTTAGAGAGAAGTTTGCAAAATTTATAAAATTCAATGAATAAGAGACGAAACTGGTTATTAATATAGGTAATCTCCCGTAACAAAGGTGGTAAATGGTTAGCTGAGAGAATGTTTGAAAAGCCATGTCCAGTTAAGAGGACTAGGGTAAGTTTTGGGAAAGCATGATGATAGTAACGTATCAAAAGATATTCACCTAATCAGTTGATTCTAAGAGTAAATATTCCAATGAAAAAACAGACAACGTGGAGTCTTAAAAAAAGGGAATTCCAAAGAGGAAGATTATGTTCTAACCAGCCAAAGGATAGGTGCCTGACAGGTGCATTTCTGTAGCAAAGATAGAATGCTTGCTATTAAATATATCAACCAACACCACTCCTAACAAAGAATCTGAGTCCATGCTTCCCTAGCCTTGTGATTACAACTTAGCCTTCATATAAACTCTCCTAAAGGATGAGAATGTGCCACTGATGTAATATATAGTTTCTTTGAAAATGTGACGTTCTAACTACATGTGTTAGTCTCTCGCAAGCTTTGCAGACAGTTCCATAGAACTTGATCTAGTTCAAAAGTAAATCTAGATTTTGGCTCAAAACCAGAGTATGGCCAAATCTCAAGTTTCTGTCATCATGTGATGCCCTGTCCGGGCAGTCAAGTAACCCCTCTTAATCCACATGACTAATTCAGTAGAAAACGTCAACCTTGTTTATATATATAAACATTAATATCACATAAACCTTATTTACATACATATTTACATATATATTTATATATTTTAGTCCTTTTACAAAAAGTAGATTATACACATTTAAAGTCAGCAGTAAAGGGGAGGGTATGCCTAACTTCCAGATAAGGTCTGATACAAAAGTATATATTAGGAAACAACACATCTCACTAAACAAGATTTCAATTGGTAATTAGATCCTGATTTTATTATAGCTACTTATTGCATTTAAGTGAATAAAATTTTGTGTATATACAATGTAAAGAATACCAACTATAGTTAGATAAAATTAAAAATGAATAAAAAATTTCTTTTATTTGAGAGAGAGAGCACACACACAAGTGGAGTAGAGGGGCAGGCAGAGAGAGAGAGAGAGAGAGAGAGAATAGTTTAAATAATTTTTTTAAGTTTATTTATTTTGAGAGAGAGAGCGTGAGCGGGGGGGGGGGGCGAGAGAGAGAGAGAGAGAGAGAGAGAGGGAGGGAGAGGGAGAGAGAGGGAATCCCAAGCAGGCTTTGCAGAGTCAGCACAGAACGCAATGTAGGGTTCAAACTCAAGACACTGTGAGATCAGGACCTGAGTGGAAATCAAGAGTCTGGACGCTTAACCGACTGAGACACCCAGGCATCCCCAAAACCACTGTGTATTTTGTCTTCCATAATGACAACTACTTTTCAGCCTACAAAAGAGGAAGAAGGAGAGACTGTAAAGGGGGAAAATAAACTTTTCTGGGGATAACTAGCTAGAGAATGGCAGGGAGAAGAGAGTAAAAAAAGATCTGTGTGTGTGAGAAAGACTTCCTGAATTGAAATTAATATTGGTGGTCAAAAGAAGAAATGGGGGTGGAATCTAAGAATGTCACGCAGATGACCTAGTCAGATGATTCTTCCAAACCAAGTGATCACAACATGTGGGGTTTGTTCTGCTTTGGAGTGAGATGCAACTGGCTGTTAAGCGTGGACTCTCAGGTGTGCATCACAAGAGAGGACTTATCTGTTGCTAGAAATGGAAGAAAGATAAGGCTTAGGAACAACACTTGGAGGATTACTTGAGAACCTGATAAATCAAGACGTTTATCTCTTACGTGACCATAACATCAAGGCAAAACAGAATGACTCTATAGCAGCTCACTTTCATCTTAATCACCACTTAAAACAGACATGGCACATTCAGATTCTGGTTACACTGTAAATGCTTCATATTTGTGTATATTTAAAAATCAGGATAATATAACAAAATCTCAAAATACATTTGCATGCATTTAAAGAAAGAAATGTACCAAAATATTAACAGTAGTTAATTGTGCCTAACAAGTAATTTTTAGCTTGATTACAACCATCACAGCTGTGGTTAAAAAAAAAAATCAATATAAAATAGGGCTTAATAATTATTTAGGGTGAGATGACTATCAACTGTATCCTTAAGACTGGCTCACAGACTTGGGGGGGCCTCGGTGGTTCAGTCGATTAAGTAAGTGTCCGACTTCAGCTCAGGTCATGATCTCATGGTTCATGAGTTTGAGCCCTGCATCGGGCTCTGTGCTGACAGCTCAGAGCCTGGAGCCTGCTTAGCCTGGAGCCTGCTTCAGATTCTGTGTCTCCCTCTCTCTCTGTCCCACCCTTGCTTATACTCTCTCAAAAATGAGTAAAATTAAAAAAAAAAAAAAAAAAAAAACTAAAAAAAAACTTAAAAAAAAAAAAAAAAAAAAGACTGGTTCACAGATGGAACATGACTAGAAACTGCCAGTGCACCTTCAGCTGCATACTGAAAGCATGGGTTGAGGAATCAGATTCCCTCAGTCAGAATCCTGGTTTCACCATTTATTTAAGCGTGTGACCTTGGGCAAATTAAATTACTTAACTGTAGTCAGGGATCCTTGAAGAAATGGCTGGTTCTAGGCCTGGGACAGGGAAAATAAGGATGAGCCTAGAGTATCTTATATTGTCAGAAGGTAAAGAAGTACTTAAAAAGGATAAGGACACAGGAAAGAGTTCCCAAAAGCCAATACTGGAATGAATGGAGCAGAAAAATAAAGTAGCATTATATTTAACCCAAAGTGAAAAATAAATATATACAGTTCATATCAGTACAAATGAATAAATAAAATGGTGGGGTGCCAAGTCTTCCTTATAAAAGAATTCCAAATAATAATTGTAGCTACATCCCCTCCTAGGAGTTGGAACTTAACTTCCTTCCCCACTTGAATATATGCTGGATCTAGTGACTCATTTCCAAGAGTATGGAAAGGGAAAAATAACTTCATGGTGGAAAAATGTGGCAAACACTGCATTAACCAAGTGATCAAGGTTAACATCTCCAGTAATAAGTTGTGCTGACGTCACTCACCACCTGATTGAATGTGATGAGAAACCTACTTTACCTCTATGGTATTCTTCCTCAAATTCCATAACCCCAGTCTAACTATGGGAAAAACATCAGATAAACCCAAACTGAGGGACATTCTACAAAAATTCCTGACCAATACTCCTTAAAGGGGCACCAGGGTGGCTCAGTTGGTTAAGCATCCAACTTTGGCATAGGTCATGATCTCGTGGTTTGTGGTTCCAGCCCCACGTCAGGCTCTGTGGTGACAGCTTAGAACCTGGAACCTGCTTCAGATTCTCTGTGTCTCCCTCTCTCTCTGCCCCACCCCTGCTTGTACTCTGTCTCTCTCTCTCTCTCTCTCATTATAAACATTAAAAAAATAAAAATTAAAAAAAAAAACTATCAAAGACATGAAAAACAAAGAAAAACTGAGAAATTGTTCACAGAGCAGAGGAGTCTAAAGAGACATGACAATGTTATATTCTGTAACAAAAAAAGGACATTAGTGGAGAAACTGGTGAAATACCAATAAAACCTAGAATTTCGTTAACAGTAATGTACCAATGTTGGCTTCTTTGCTTTGACAGACATTTTAGGGTTTGTGTTAACATTAGAAGATAGGTGATAGCTATACAGGAAATCTACTATCTCTGCAAATCTGAAATTATTCCACAATAAAAAGTCTATTTCAAAATGAATTATGTAATAAGTTCCTTTAAAAGTTATAGAATTATCTACAATATGACCTAGGAATTCCACTCCCAGTATATACCTAAGAGAACTGAAAACATATGTCCACAAATAAGTTGCATATGAATGTTCATAGCATTATTCATAATAGCCAAAAGATTAAAAAAAAACACCCAAAATATCCATCAACAAATGGACAGATAAAATGTAGCATATCTATACAATGGAATATTTGGCCAAGGAAAGGAGTGAAGTACTAATACCGGCTACAACGTGGCTGGACCTTTAAAACATAAGTGGAAAAAGAAAGACACAAGAAGACCACATACTGTATGATACCATTTATATGAAATGTCAAGAACATGCAAATATTTCCACAAAGACAGCAGGTGATTAGTGGTCACTAAGAGGTGAACGGAATGGGATGTGACTACTAATGGGTATGGCATTTCTTTCTGAACGCCATTTCATGAAAATGTTCTGGAATTAGACATCAGACATTGCACAACCTTTTTAATATCTTAAAACCACTTAACTGTACAGTTTAAAATGGTAAGTTTCAGCTATGTGAATATCTATCTCAAATTAAAAAAAAATTTTTTTTAATGATTTATTTTTGAGAGACAGAGCACGAGTGGGGGAGGAGCAGAGAGAGAGGGAGACAGAGTCCGATGCGGGGCTTGAACTCAAGAACCATGAAATCATGACCTGAGCCAAAGTTGGATGCTTAACCTACTGAGCCACCCAGGCACCCCGCTACATAAAATACTTTAAAAGTGAACTTAAAATTAAAGATACAGTGGTGCTTGGGTGGCTCAGTTAAGCCTCTGACTCTTGATTTCAGCTCAGGTTATGATCTCGCGGTTTGTGGGTTTGAGACCCGCATTGGACTCTGTGCTGACAGCTTGGAGCCTGGAGCCTGCTTTGGATGCTGTGCCTCTCTCTCTCTCTGCCCCTCCCCAACTCATGCTCTGTCTCTGTCTCTCAAAAACGAATAAAAGTTAAAAAAACTTAAAAAAAAATAAAAAACGAGATACAACAAAATTAAACATTTTATTGATTTCATGAAGTACATTTTTTAAAAATTTTATCTATCTATAAGTTTACATCGAAGTTAGTTAGCATGTAGTGCGCAATGATTTCAGGAGT